CTCTAAATCTTGCATGTTAACAATTGATACTTTTTGTACTCGCTCGATTTTTGAATTTTGATCGCTGCAATAATACACTATCGTATTCCTTCGCAAGTGCCTTTTGAATTACGTTGTGGACGTCGAGTAATCACAACGTTAGCACACAATTATAAACGCGAAGAAGTACTAGGATATACGTGTACGCTAGTTTAGTCAAAATATAGCAGCACAACAATTGGTGAGCCCGACATAGCTGATCGATCGACTACACCATTTCGAAATATACACACAGTGGATTTAATTATCTTTGCTATCGTATTTACTTTTATAACTGCATAACATTCGGATATATATTTACTGATATTTTTTGCTTAAAGTACCTCGGTAAGCAGAACATTTTTGAACTTACCTATATTCTGTTCTGTTTTTGCTCACTTTTTGTAATTTTGCTGTCACCTATATATATATTCTTTTCTGCACTTTTATGATGTCATTTAATACTGATAACGACACTTTAAGTACAAGGTCTGTGGCTGCAGTTACGATATCCATACCACCTTTTAAACCTAACGACCCATATTTGTGGTTCACTCGCCTGGAACACTACTTCCTAGCCAACCACGTCACTTCTCAGACTACAAAATTTGGCCTTGCAAGCTCCATATTGCCTGACAATGTAGCAGAGCAAGTACGAGAGACGCTCATACATCCAGATCCAGAAACTCCGTACGATGTTTTAAAGCAGAAGGTTATTAAAGTTGCTTCATTATCAGATCAGAAAGCTATCGATCAGCTACTCAGCAATGTTAGCCTGGGCGATAGGACACCTTCTCAACTCAAAAGCCATATGTGTAACACTTTAGGAGATCGGAAGGTAGACGCCAGGTTTTTCTATCAATTGTGGCTAAGACGATTACCCCACAACATTCAGCAAGTATTAGCATTTGGAGATGAAGACGTAGATATTGACAAGTTGGCAGAAATCGCTGACAGAATGTATGAACGGATATCTCCACAAGTAACATCTGTAGTCGACAAAACGTCAAACGAACGCATAGAAGCCTTAGAACGTAAAATCGACGTGCTCACTGAGCAATTAATGACAGTGAGGGTTAATAGACAACCTACCACAACGTACAGAAGACAGCGTAGCCACTCACGCAATATGCGTAAATATAGCTTACAACAGTATATATGCCGGTATCACCGCAAATTTGGGGTACACGCGAAACGGTGCACACAACCTTGTGCTTTCCAACAAACGGTGGCGTTGGGAAACTAAAAGGCCGGCGGTCGGTGACGACTGCGGTCGCTGGCCAACACACGTCCCACGGCCGTCTATTCAGGGTGACAGACAAAACAACGGGGGCACAATTCCTGGTAGATACCGGTGCAGGAATTAGTGTAGTTCCCCCAACACCCAACGAACGATTACAACCAAACCCAGCATTAGTTCTCAAGGCTGCGAACAATTCTACCATAAAAACGTTTGGAACTCGGAGACAAAAACTTAATTTTGGATGCAGTACACCATTTGAGTGGGAGTTCGTAGTCGCCGACGTAACCTTTCCTATCATTGGAATAGATTTTCTTCAACACTACGAATTGCTAGTCGACTCTAGACACCACAGATTGATAGATAGCAGTCATAAGCTATCGATTTCAGGCATCTCCACAGATGTCGAGAGTATTCGCTTGATGGTAGCCACAACAGATCAATTATCCAGGTACGATATTTTGCTAAAGAAATTTCCTGAACTGACACAGAGCGATTACTCCACAGCCTCTCTCAAACACAACATAACACATCATATTGTAACTAAAGGTCCACTGGTCTCAGCAAAACCGCATCGTTTAGATCCAGCTAAAATGCAAATAGCAAAAGCAGAGTTCAACAGATTATTGGATCTAGGAATAATACGTTTCGAGCACAATTTATTGCTCATAATCATATCAAGTTAATCACACGACTTCCTAAATTCATTTATATAGTTCCATTGTTTTTCACTTGATTTGATTGGTAGTAATATTTTCCATATTTCAGGTATGAGTGATGATTCATTCCTATTGCATGTGTTGGGTGTAGATTCGATGAAAAAAGATTCAGTAATCAACCTCTCTCTCCACCTACCTAGATTACTTTTTAGAATTTTAACCCTCTCCCACTCTATTGTGTGGTTGTCTGTTTAGGCATGTAGTGCAATTGCTGGGCTTTTTCCCGAATTGCTTATCTTCTCGGGGTCAACCATTCCTACCTTAGCTAAATTCTTATGTTCCGACAATCTGACTACCCCCGACCTACCTATGTAACTGACTTCACAGTCTGATAGGATCCCACACACTTGTTATTGTTCAATTATCTTAACGACTGTTAATCTCGTATAAGTTGTATATTATCATTTCTCACGCATATTGTTATTGTTCAATTATCTTAATGACTGTTAATCTCGCATATGTGTTATATTGTCATTTCCCAGGCACTTTGTTATTGTTCAGTTATCTTAATGACTGTTAATCTCGCATATGTGGTATATCATCATTCCCACGCATTTTGTTATTGACTATTACGACCAATTATTTCAAATACTGTTAGCTGTCTCTATTGGTTGTAAAATTGTATAAATACCATTTCCTAAATAAGTTATTTGTCGTCGTCGTTGTTGTCGTAGTCGTAGTGTTGTACTACAATACACAGTCACAGACCAGACTTTGTCTTTTGATATTTGCGTGGTTCGCTGAGTCGGAAGGTACCAGAAGCAGATAGGCATATTAGTCAGGCGCAGACAGAACAAGGCAACAACGTACCTCATTTTAATTCCCGCTACAGTTACAACAAATTGGCGACGCGGTTTATCTCAATTCATTGCAGTTATAACAATTGGCAACGGGGTTTTACTTTAATTTATTGCAGTTATAACAAGCAAGCGACGACGAGTTTTATTCTGTTCAGCGCATCTATAGAACATTTTTGACTGTGTTAATTACAACCCAATTACAATGTCTATCTCTCTGGACGATCTCAAATCCATCTTGCAGCAGCAGCAACTTCAGAATGAAGCAGCTCAACTTAAATTAATCGAAGCTCTCACTCAGAAGCTGTCAATTCAAGTTCCATCAACATCTCATTCAGACAAATACGAAAGCATCTCAAATTCCATCAGTGAATTCAACTACGACCCAATATCTGGTCTCGTATTTGATGCATGGTTCAATCGTTATGAAGACGTTTTTCGTATTGAATGCCACATGTTTGATGATGCTGCCAAAGTCCGATTGTTACTACGAAAACTTGGTACTGTTGAGCACAACAGATATGTTAACTTCATTCTGCCTAAGAACCCACGTGAATTATCATTCGATGAGACAGTCACCGTTTTATCACAAATCTTTGGTGAACAGTTATCCATGTTTAATATTCGGTATCAATGTTTTCAGTTGACAAAAATGCCTTCCGATGATTATGTTACTTACGCTGGCAAAGTGAACAAAGAATGCGAAAGGTTCAAACCACATGAAATGACATCAGACCAGTTCAAGTGTTTGATTTTTATTTGTGGGTTGAAGAACCCTGAAGATACTGACATCAGAACTCGACTTCTGTCACTCGTGGAACAAGACCCAAAAATGACTTTACAAATGGTGACAGCAGAATGCCAACGCTTAATCAACTTGAAGCACGATACTGCTATGTTGGATTGCAAACGACAGTCGTCTGAATTTGATTCAGTTAACACAGTGAAAAGTCCTCCGATCACCGTTAAGCACACAGCACGTCAGTCTCAGAATTCAGCTAAACCTCCTTCAGTGTGCTGGCACTGTGGTTCGTGGCATTTTGTCAAGTTCTGTCCTTTCAAGAAACATAAATGCCGTAATTGTCACCGTTTTGGACATAAAGAGGGTTACTGTACACCACAGAAAAATTCTTCGGTGAAGAACAGAAGTCGTCATTTCAAGCCGAAACAATCTCCTCGAATACAGACCGTTTTCACAACTTCCAAAGTCAATTTCGCCAGCAAACGTAAGTACATTACACTACGCATTAACGGCAAATCTATTCGTCTTCAGTTGGATACGGCATCAGATATCACTTTAATTTCCCGAACTACGTGGCGCAAACTTGGGTGCCCACAGATTCTGCCGACCAAGCATGTCGCTAAGAATGCCTCTGGAGATCTATTGAAACTCGTGGGTGAGATAAATTGCCAGGTTCAGTTTGGTGAGCAACAGTTCAATGGTGTATGTTATGTCACAAACTACCATGATTTGAATTTGCTTGGTCTTGACTGGTTAGACAAGCTCCATTTCTTCAATGTACCATTAAATTCAGTATGCTCTAATGTTTCGTCCTCACCAAATAATGTTGTTCCCGCACATGTATCTGATCAGTCTCTCTTGCAACGCCTACGTCAAAAGCACGCCTCTGTTTTCCAGGACAAACTTGGTTGCTGCAAATTTACCAAAGTACTTATGCAAAACCGAAGGGGGAGGGAACAACAGAAGAAATTTTGCACAGATTCTCACTGCATTATCGTACGACGCCAAATCCTCCCGCAGCCGGAAGCCCGGGACGCAGATCACAATCTATCCAGTACGCGAAAGTCAACTCGACAAAGAAGAGCTCCAAAACCTTTTCAAATAGATCCAAAATGCAAGTCCTACACTTTTAACGGGGGGAGGTGATAGGATCCCACACACTTGTTATTGTTCAATTATCTTAACGACTGTTAATCTCGTATAAGTTGTATATTATCATTTCTCACGCATATTGTTATTGTTCAATTATCTTAACGACTGTTAATCTCGTATAAGTTGTATATCATCAATTCTCACACACTTTGTTATTGTCAATTATCTTAATGACTGTTAATCTCGCATATGTGTTATATTGTCATTTCCCAGGCACTTTGTTATTGTTCAGTTATCTTAATGACTGTTAATCTCGCATATGTGGTATATCATCATTCCCACGCATTTTGTTATTGACTATTACGACCAATTATTTCAAATACTGTTAGCTGTCTCTATTGGTTGTAAAATTGTATAAATACCATTTCCTAAATAAGTTATTTGTCGTCGTCGTTGTTGTCGTAGTCGTAGTGTTGTACTACAATACACAGTCACAGACCAGACTTTGTCTTTTGATATTTGCGTGGTTCGCTGAGTCGGAAGGTACCAGAAGCAGATAGGCATATTAGTCAGGCGCAGACAGAACAAGGCAACAACGTACCTCATTTTAATTCCCGCTACAGTTACAACAAATTGGCGACGCGGTTTATCTCATTCATTACGTTTATAACACAGTCATTGCAAGGTATTTTGTCGATTATATTATTTCGTTGAATTGGGTCCACATGGTCCTTTAACCAACAGAGCTTGTCCTGACTGAATGAGTTTATAGCTTTAAATGCCACTCTAATTCCTGCTTTATTCAGAATCCTACGTAGGGAGTGTCTCAGATACCCCCTGCTTATATGGTATAATAGCAGATGCCTTACATTCACTCTTATTTATGTTATCATTACTAGTTTCACAATAATAATAATAATAAAAGTAACGGAATGGAAAATGATGGAATTTTTATAAACGAAGTTAGAAAATTGTGTGAGTAGTGTCTTCATATGATTATGAGCAGTAATCAATTGTGCTCGTAACGTGGTCATCAGTAAACATTACTGTAGATGTAACACTGTGAGACTTTATCAAAACAAATTTTACCCATAATGGAATTCTCAAGAGTTTGTTTTGATCAAAGGAGCTAACATCAATTAGAGAGTCGTTAGAAAACCACCAGCCAGTACTGGATATCTACTTCGTCATATTCTGGGACTCTTCATCAGTACGTAACCACTAGGATTCAAATCCACAAGGCTCTAGTTACAAGGTAAACTCATAGGACCATTCAGTCACTGGGAGCCAGTCCATTGGGCAATGAATTCCAGCTTCTAAAAATTGGTGATTTCAACACAACCTTACACAGTATCTCTTTAAAATGAATCTGATTCTGGTTATCGATTGGCTACAGGAAAGAGTTTCCTGGACTTTCTGGTGAGAAGTCGTGACCAGTGAGGTCCACCATATTGAGTTAGTGGTCGCGCTATAATTATGAATTTGTGGAATTTAGAAATCATGGGTCATTAGAACCGGTCTTAGTGTCCGGATGGTCTATGAGCCTGTCTTGTCGCTGGAGTGTCATGTGTTTGATTCCTTGGGGGTGCGTGCTGATTAGGAGTCCCAAACTGTGACGAAACCGGTGCTCAGTAATCCTGTAACAGCAGAAGGCTAGCCATGGAAGCCAAGGTATATTTTCAACTGATCAAACAGCTATTTATATCTATACAGTTTATATTCTTTAACCAATCACTGAGCGTGTGATTGTGGTTTGTATTAAACGACATGAAACAGAATGTGCAAATATACAAATAGCATTCTGGTGCTAATTCGCTACTGAACTGTTGGAATAGTATTCAGGCATTAGCACCAGCAAATACAATGATTCTTACTGTGAAAATAATATTCCTTTAGAAACCATTGCCTGTATCACACCACCACACTCCCTGTTGGTTTTCCAATGGTTCTCCCACTGATATCAATCACCTCGTGATCAAACGTGAAATTTATTTCTGTCGACAGATCTCCTAGTCACAGCCGCAGTAATACGATTGGTCCGGATACGTGGTGATTCTGACAGGTTATTTTCCATCTTGTAGATGATTTTAAAAGAAAGCGTTTTAAAGATAAAGTGACCACTATTGAACAGGTGTTCAGTTAATGTGCTTCTTATAGCTCCTTATCCACCTATTTTGAATCATACAGGGTAGTGTTCTTGCACGTTTCTGGATAAAACCCGCATCGAACGACGGCAGTACACCTAGCTCCAAGAGGGCAAGTGAACTCGTAGACAAACACTGAGTCACCTATTTGTCTCAGGGGTAGTAGATTTTTCCAGATATCTGGGATAGGTGATGAATCATTCCTATTACATGTATTTTCAGTTTATTCGATAAACAAGGCTTCTGTTATCAATCTCTCCCTCCACCCTATGGTTACATTAGATTTTAAAACTGTCATCCTATCCCATCCTATTGTATGGTTGTGTGTAACTGCATGTAGTGCTATAGTTGAACTATTCTCTACATTTCTCATCTTGTTTGGATCAACCAATCTAGATTTTGCTAAGTTTTTATGTTCAGCTAGTCTGATTGCCCCTGTTCTACTAGTTTGACCTATGTATTTGACCTGACAATCACTGCAGGGTATTAGATAAAATAAATTGTTTTGTTTTAAAGGCTCTACAGGATCCTTTAACAGACAAAGATTGTTTCTAATTGAGTTTGTGGGTTTGAATGCCGTTTTTATTTCTGCCTTGTTAAGAATTCTGCGTAAAGCTTCCAAGGTTCCTTCCTTGTATGGAATTACTACTGATGATTTAGATTCCTTGTTGCTGGTGTTGTCATTAATATTGTTATTATTATCAATATTATTATTATCATCATTATTGTTATCATCACTATCGCTACTATCATTATTTATTTTACTTTTACATTTCCTTACATATTTCCTGACTAATTTATCCGGGTAATTATTAAGTTTCAAGGCTTCTTTTATGTGTATCAGTTCCTGTTTTAGATTTTCCTTGATACTACTTAGTTTTTGTGCTCTGTCATTTAAACATTTCACCAATCCTATTTTTACTGACATAGGATGGGATGATCGGAAGTTCAAATATCTGTTTGAGTGTGTGGGTTTCCTGTAAACACCACTGTGTTTTAACTTCCCATCTTCTTTCCTTTTCACGTTGCAATATAACATTGGAAGCTCCCCTTCCTGACTTTCTAATTCATAAGTGAATTGAATTGCCTCTACCTTCGAGTTGGTGTGTTCGAAAAATCTATCTATATCTTGTGTTCTAAGTGCAGTGAATGTGTCATCTACGTACCTCCACCATACTTTTGGGGTGGGGGTGAGTCACACTGAGTCAGTCAACTGCGGGATCTTGTCCTTTAGATAATTGAAGAGTAGTAATCGACTAAACAAGTTCTATTCTCATAGGTGCTATAGCGATTAAGTAACGACCGAAATCTACGTGTTGTCGTCTGAACACACGTAACCAATCTCATTGCTCTACTACATAGCTAATCAGAACTTCCTTCGGTTATGTGCAGTCATAAAATGCTCAAATGGCAGCAGACAGACAGCCATTTGCGATAAAAACCTGTGGTACTATTTAATAATCATTACTTACCAAAAAGTCACAGTGTCGTCCGTTAGGCAGCTATACATATAAGATGGTTTTCTAGTACAAAGCAATTACTGTACTACAAGAAAACTGGTTAACCGAAATTCATCCTGAAATTTCTTTGGATAACATTTCGTTGGATTATTATTATTATTATTCATCCCTTGGGTTCTAAGTGGGAAATAAAGACACACGACAGAAACTTCCAACCTCAAAGGCGGCCTGCTTAAAACTTCGGCTACCTAAACCTTCCATCTCTCTATTACATATATTTTCTCTCCTTTAGTTCCTTTTAATCGATTAAGATGTGACCTCTAATGGTATTATTATCTACTCTTGAGTGTATTTAAAATGTTTACAAGCTTCTGATCCACAAGTTCTTACTAAACTTCAGGAATGACCCGATTGTTGATGGCATTGTGTTCCAATACATGAGAGATAACTGTTTTTCAGTTATTATGTCCTTGGGTCTCAAAATGAACTTCAGAACATTTTACAGTTGGTTTTCGACCAGATATCGTGGATGGATTTCTTGAGGGAGACAAAACAGATATATATATATCACAATGGAATGGTTTGTGCCTCAGCTCAAAGCCCACTGTGTCACAAAATATACTGTCAATTATTATTTCACTTGAAGATATTGTACGAAGGGAGAGAATAACATGCAATAAACTCCTCTGAAAATTCTGTACATTTTATCAATACCGTCCGGAATAAAGACGTTATTATTATTATAAGAAACACGAAGTCTCGTCAAGTTACAATATGGTGTGTTATGTTGTGTTTGAGAGAGGCTGTGGAGTAATCGCTCTGTGTCAGTTCAGGAAATTTCTTTAGCAAAATATCGTACCTGGATAATTGATCTGTTGTGGCTACCATCAAGCGAATACTCTCGACATCTGTGGAGATGCCTGAAATCGATAGCTTATGACTGCTATCTATCAATCTGTGGTGTCTAGAGTCGACTAGCAATTCGTAGTGTTGAAGAAAATCTATTCCAATGATAGGAAAGGTTACGTCGGCGACTACGAACTCCCACTCAAATGGTGTACTGCATCCAAAATTAAGTTTTTGTCTCCGAGTTCCAAACGTTTTTATGGTAGAATTGTTCGCAGCCTTGAGAACTAATGCTGGGTTTGGTTGTAATCGTTCGTTGGGTGTTGGGGGAACTACACTAATTCCTGCACCGGTATCTACCAGGAATTGTGCCCCCGTTGTTTTGTCTGTCACCCTGAATAGACGGCCGTGGGACGTGTGTTGGCCAGCGACCGCAGTCGTCACCGACCGCCGGCCTTTTAGTTTCCCAACGCCACCGTTTGTTGGAAAGCACAAGGTTGTGTGCACCGTTTCGCGTGTACCCCAAATTTGCGGTGATACCGGCATATATACTGTTGTAAGCTATATTTACGCATATTGCGTGAGTGGCTACGCTGTCTTCTGT